TTTCAGTAACTATGGTGATCAATTCTTATTATTAGGAATTGACTGGTAGACAGACCTTTAGTGTGTTCTACGATACCTTTTATGTGAAACTGACGGCACTTCAAGTACTAGTAGCTAAACCAGGTCAGCACTGTACATGTACATGTATACCATATTGTAATAGTTATTTATATATGTGCATGTACATGTATTTATTGTCCTGTCCTTCATGTGTACATTATTAATCTCTCACTCTAATTGTAGTATTGTTATGATTAGAACTAATTGTATGTGTCATTATGTGATCTTTATTCTCTTACTCTTTTGTTTATTCTTCAATTAGGTACTGACTGGCAAGCTGCTAGATCGGCTACTTCGACTCCACTTCACATTCTGAATCCAACTGGTTTTAGTATTGAACTGAAGAAGAGTATTGTATCTGATGATGCATTGTTACCAAGGTAGGGGGGAGAGAGAGAGGGGGGAAGGGAGAGAGGGAGAGAGAGAGAGGGAGAGAGAGAGGGAGGGAGAGAGGGAGGGAGGGGAGAGAAGGAGAGAGAAGGGAGGAGGTGTAATGTGTACATATAGTATCATTAGTATGTGTATACTATTCCTTGAACCAGATGGGGGGAATTTTGTGGTTTTATAAGTAATGTTTATGTAATGTCTGAGAATGTATCAGTACAATTACACTAGTATTATGGCATATACTTGTCTTTATACGCACCAGTGTAACCTACATGTACATGTATTCTCACTATTGTGATGTCATGCTACTGCCACATATGGTACTGGTGCATGTACTTATTAGGATCCTCTATAATTTGTAGTTCAGTGTACATACTTGTATATTACTACTACTACTATTATTACTATTATATTGGATGAAGCCCTTACTTATGAGAATTTGTATGCATACGTTTGGGGGCGTGACTAAGAGGTGTGGCCATGAGACAGAGCCTTTCAATGTTTCACATTTGTTCTAGTTATTATTATTATTATTATTATTATTATTGTTGTTTATAGTCTTCAGGTGGTCGGTGATATTCCCGGTTTCAATATCAAGCTAAACGATGATAAAATCCGTTCTCTTCTCTCCATCGTCTCAACTCTCAAGTTGCCTCCGCCTTCTCTCAAAAACACCACCTCTTACTACAACGAACTGCCGGTAAGTCACGTGACATTCCGTTACATGTTGACCCCGCCCTTTAGCCTCCGCCCGCTGTTTCGTCGACTGATTTCATTCGTGAGGATCCAGCTAATATCGCTCGGACTGTTTCTATGGATACAATGTCTATTGCTAGTTTTGATGATGAAGGTGGGTGTGGTTGCATTAATAATTAATTTGTTTTAATTTTTTGTTGTTTTTTTTAGATGACACACCCACCTCTTCTGTTGATAGGTAATCTTATGATTCAATATATTAATATACTGTACATTCTTTAATTTTTATTTAATTTATTTTTCACTTCTCACTTTTCTAAATGTATTTCCTTTTTTTGTTATTTCTCCTACTCTCTCTCTCCCTCCCTCCCTCCTTCTCTCTCTCTTCTCTCTCTCTCTCTCTCCCTCTCTCTCCCCCTCTCTCCTCCCCCAGTGGTGTTAGTGGTACAAAGGATAATAAGGATAGTACTGCCCAGATTGTGTTTACTGATGTGAAGATCAATTTAACAATCAGAGAAGTAATGACATCTCAGATTACTATCAGTTACTCACCCATCACAAATTACTATGTGTCCCCCTCCCTCTCTCTCTCTCTCCCTCTCTCCCTCCCCCCCCTCTCTCTCTCTCTCTCTCTCTCTCTCTCTCTCCCGCTCTCTTTCCCTCAAACTTCAGATTAGTGTTTCTCTTAGTCAATTAAATAAAGTGGATGTGTCAGGGGGTGGGGCTGAGCCCCTCCTCCTCGTCTGTGCTATACACAACATGTCAGCTGAAGTCAGTGACAGGAATTGGGACGCACAAGGAAAAATCTTCATTAAAGACATTGAAATACTGGACTACATAAATAAAGGTAGTACAAATTTTTTTTTAAATAAATGAATTTAAAAAACGCATGTAACTATACGCATGATATTATTATTTTTTATTTTATTATTACTGAATTACAGGTGATGATGGTAAGCCCAGTTATCTAATGAAGACTAGTGCTTTGGATGATGGTCACTTCCTTAGCGTCAGATTTGTGACTGTAAGCAGTACATATATATTGTCATTGCTATAGGAAGAGAGAGGGAGAGAGAGAGAGGTTGAAACTCCATTTGCTTTGTTCTTCTTTCTCTCTTTCTCTCAGATAACTGCCGTTGGTCAGACTTTTGCTCACATTTATTCAAAGCTTGACAACACAGCCTCGATACAGCTCTCAATGATAGACATTAACGTTCACCAGAAAACAGTAGCTGGTTTGATGAAGTTCTTCTTCACTTTAATGCCAGCAATTGACAAGTGAGAAGAGGATCATACATTTACATGCACATGTATATACTTTTTCAGGTCCTACTTTGCATAATTACATGTATTAATTTTTATCTGGTTGACGGTTATAATTAAAATGTTTATCTATAAATTTTTCATCAATTTAGAACTTTTAGAATAACTGTACAGTACATAATAATAATAATTATTATTATTGATATTATGAATGTGTTTCAGAGCAACAAAGAAAGATGATGTCAATACTTCACTTTACGCTGAAGATATCGGAGGTAATAATTAGCGTGGGTGGTAACCACACCCACTAATAATAACTAATATACACATAGATACAAGTGGAGGTGTGTCCAGTGATAAAGCAGCTGAAGCAGCAGTGGGTACTAGTGGAGGAAAAGAGTTTCGTATTGAGTCCTCGTTTGAGGGGATCTCCCTCTCTCTCTTAACGGGAAACTCGCAATGTTTAACACGGGCTTCTGTCACAGGTAAGGGGCGTGGTCTTTGGATTTAATTAAGTGGGTGGGCATTTAATAATCAAGTGGGTAGATATTAATTAATTGAGTGGGTGGGTGTTGATTTTATTTATATTTTTGTGTTGAAGCTACATGTAGTTGATTGATTTTTAGGGTTTAGTGTTACGGCCGATTTAAAGAATGATAAGAAAGTTATTGTGGCAAGGTAGGTGTGGCTTGTTGTCATGGGAACGTTAGATTGTCTTTTTTAGTATGAGGGATGTGTCCTTGACTTATCCTTTGGCAAAGAGTTTGGAGAATTCTTCAATTGTGTCAAGAGTGAAACAGATAGAGAAAATGATTCAACTTAAGGTACATGTACATGTATATGGCTCAGAGAGAAATCTCTATTTTTAAAGTTGCTTAAAAATCGGACCAAAGTCCCTATACTATAATAGTACAGGGTCTTTAGCCGAATTTCATCAAAATTGAAAATAAGAGAATTCTCCATTTTTATAATTTTTTCTGATACATATACATGCTCTTATGCTGCGTAGAAAGTTTGAACTGATTCCGATCGAATATGAATTTTTTTACAGCTTTTAAAAATTGCTTTAAAAGCCATGTGTGCTATTTAGATTGTAGCCCTTATTTTTTGTTAAAAAAAATTGGCTCGAAGATTACCCCAATTTTTGTTATTTTCCAATATACATGTACATTATACATGTACACTGCATGAGCTTTGAATTAAAATGAATTTATATAATTATTATTATTCACTATTTCTTCAGGTTACTGTATACACCAGGGATAGGTCACAATTTCACGACCTCTCTCTTTCCGACATTTCCCTTGAAGCTCAAGTCCAGCGCCTTCAAGCTCGATTGAATTTCGGCTTTGTCTCGGATTTATTTGTAACCATACATGCATAGCCACGCCCATTATTGACGTATTTAATTTAGGGTTTTGTAAAGCCGCTCCAGATTGATTCGGATCAGTTCTTTAGCGCCTACAGGACGACTGCTGACACTGCACAGAAAACTGTTAGTGCATGTTCATTTATTTTTATTATTTCTAAATCTCTGTTCACTTTTATTTGAATTGTTGAAAACAATTTAGTGTACATGCACATGTAAGTACAACGGAATCTAAATTTTAGTTTTAAAATTGGCTCAAACAAAATGCATATGCATGTACATATGCGTAGTTTATTTCTTAGCAATTTTATTTCTTTCATTTCTCTCTCTCCTCCAGGCTACAGTGATTAAAGAAACAAAGACCCTTTCTTCAGCTAAGCCTCCATTAAAACTGATAATGTCCATCAGTCTACTAGCCCCTCATATTATCATACCATATACGGCTCAGAACACTTCAGGATCTCTGCACGTTGTACTGGGAGACTTCTCTGTATCTAACAGGTACTGATACTGATTTTGATATTGATACTGATATTAATACTGATATTGACATTGATGAATATTAACACTAATACTGATTAGCACTGATTGATCTTAACACTAATACTGATATTGATCCTGATATTGATATTAACACTGATACTGATATTGATTTCTCTTCAGGTTACTCCACGGCTACGATTTTATCGACACAAGAGCTTCAGTAGTTAGTCTGAGCAGTGCTGAGATTGTGTTGGATAGAATGGAAATCACTTGCTCTAGTATTTCTGTCTATCGTGAAGCCGGCTTGGTCAACG